CAGCAAGTAGCGTTAAGCAGAAGTTGCTCACCTTCTTTAGACTTCCTCAGCAACACAGACTCAAGTGAATGCTGAAGTGTAAGGGCCTTCTTCATGGAGGAGTCATTAGGAGATAGATCTATAGTAAAGTTACAAAAATGAGTGTCATTAACAAACCTCATGAAATATGTAGTCACCAATATTCTTACCTCTCATTGTCCTCTGCTGCCCATTACCACTCATTTCATTCTTGCCACCAACCGGCAAACCAGAGCCTGCAGATAAAGAAGTTGCTTTTCATCAAACATTACTTCATCACCCCTACATTTACTATACTCCACCGCAAAGTTCTTGAATTGAAGTCTCCAACGGGACATAGAGAAATACCTTTGGTAAACCAGACAGTCAGCACAGAAACAAGCAAGGCCCAAAACACTCCCATTACTTCGGTCACCAACAGAAAATGCAACCTGAGTCACGTCGCAGGTAAATATACCCATCTGCAGGTGTCACAGGAGTAGCTGATCAGCCCTGATTGGCTGGCTCTTCAGAAAGTCAGTGTTCATTGGAAAACTAGAAATCTGCTGTCCAAGTCATTTTCATTCATGTCCGTATTCATGAATTTCTAACTGAACTCCCAGAATTCTTATCAAGTTTAGTCCTTAAAGCAGAACAAGAAATGATAGACATTTCAAAGACATCTTACAGCCTTTTCACAGAACTGTCTTTTAATCGGACCATTTCAGAATAACGTTTGAACTCTTACTTGGAGAATGCACTCCACTAGACAACCGTTTCAACTGTAGTCAAAACGCTTTTCAAAAGCTACAGTTTAGCATGTCTAAAAAGAGTCATATCAAACACATTATGCAACTAAAAATAATCATAATTAGTATGGAGAAAAAGGATTCAGTGTAGCAGGGTGAATGGATATGAAGAGTGTTCACGTTGGTGAACAATGAAATCTCGATGACTACCAATAGCCACATGGCTCTATGTTGGACCGCCAATTTTATTGACCTCATTATGCTTGCGTTGGGTCTTAGAACAACCTCCATCAACTTTCATTGTTATGCAGATGATACTCCAATGTATCTATTGATCAAGCTAGAGGAAACCAGCTCGTTGTACTTCAAGCAGGTCTTAAGGACATCAAGGCCTGCAACTTCCTGATGTTAAACTCCGAAAAAGGTTGCTTTATTTGGCCCAGAGCACCCAAACTTAAATGTCCAGTAATAGCTTCTATAGATGGCATTCACAAAAAGAAATGAGTTGTTAAGGGTGTGTCCTTTAACTTAACCTAATTGAAATGGAGGCACTTCCTTTCTCAGTGATGACGAGCAGTTTAAGAATTTGTGAAGTCTAGATTAATCAAAATCAGGCACGCTAATAAGGCAAAGTCACTGCATCGCAATGGAAGTAGAACAGGGATCCAATTACTTCCTGAATTAGCGTCAGTCCAGGGGGCAGAGAGTCACCTCATTTAACACTAGGCACAAGACGCCTTTTGGAGATCTCGTCAGCCCCAGGTAACTTGCTACAAGTCTAGACTGCCTAGGATTCAAAGAGCCCATTCCATTCAACACAAGTTCATGGCCAATCATTGAGTCACAAAGTCTACTTCTTTGCTTTTGCACAACAACACGACAAACAGGGAAACGGCAATTTCAGGGACAGTTTTATTTAACACCAGAGATTAAAAGTAGGTACAAGCCAAAATGTCTTAAGAGGAACTATTGCCCAGAGTGCCGTTGCGGCCTTTAAAGTCGTCGCCCAGGGAGGCGTTTTGCCCTGCAGAGTCGTCGTCGGCCAGAGTCCAGTTGTTCCTGCTGGGGTAGCTGTCGTCTCCCACAGTGCCGTTTTGCCCTGCAGAGTCGTCGCCCACGGTGCCGTTTTGGCCTGCAGAGTCGTCGCCCACGGTGCCGTTTTGCCCTGCAGAGTCGTCGCCCACGGTGCCATTTTGGCCTGCAGAGTCGTCGCTCACGGTGCCGTTCTGGCCTGCAGAGTCGTCGCTCACGGTGCCGTTCTGGCCTGCAGAGTCGTCGCTCACGGTGCCGTTCTGGCCTGCAGAGTCGTCGCTCACGGTGCCGTTCTGGCCTGCAGAGTCGTCGCTCACGGTGCCGTTCTGGCCTGTGCTGCCATCGTCCAGAGTGCCGTTCTGGCCTGTGCTGCCATCGTCCAGAGTGCCGTTCTGGCCTGTGCTGCCATCGTCCAGAGTGCCGTTCTGGCCTGTGCTGCCATCGTCCAGAGTGCCGTTCTGGCCTGTGCTGCCATCGTCCAGAGTGCCGTTCTGGCCTGTGCTGCCCTTGTCGCCCTGCGCCTTTTCAACAATATGCAGGTAGACAGCTGATGTCGCCACTTCCACTTGATTGGTTTCCAGTTGGACTGAAGTGAAGACATTAAAATGAATGAATGAAAAGTACCATGAGCCAGACACAGCCTCTATGAGACGTAAATACCACATAATGTCATCAAGAACCAGAGCCGTACACAAACAGCAAGTAGCGTTAAGCAGAAGTTGCTCACCTTCTTTAGACTTCCTCAGCAACACAGACTCAAGTGAATGCTGAAGTGTAAGGGCCTTCTTCATGGAGGAGTCATTAGGAGATAGATCTATAGTAAAGTTACAAAAATGAGTGTCATTAACAAACCTCATGAAATATGTAGTCACCAATATTCTTACCTCTCATTGTCCTCTGCTGCCCATTACCACTCATTTCATTCTTGCCACCAACCGGCAAACCAGAGCCTGCAGATAAAGAAGTTGCTTTTCATCAAACATTACTTCATCACCCCTACATTTACTATACTCCACCGCAAAGTTCTTGAATTGAAGTCTCCAACGGGACATAGAGAAATACCTTTGGTAAACCAGACAGTCAGCACAGAAACAAGCAAGGCCCAAAACACTCCCATTACTTCGGTCACCAACAGAAAATGCAACCTGAGTCACGTCGCAGGTAAATATACCCATCTGCAGGTGTCACAGGAGTAGCTGATCAGCCCTGATTGGCTGGCTCTTCAGAAAGTCAGTGTTCATTGGAAAACTAGAAATCTGCTGTCCAAGTCATTTTCATTCATGTCCGTATTCATGAATTTCTAACTGAACTCCCAGAATTCTTATCAAGTTTAGTCCTTAAAGCAGAACAAGAAATGATAGACATTTCAAAGACATCTTACAGCCCTTTTCACAGAACTGTCTTTTTAATCGGACCATTTTCAGAATAACGTTTGAACTCTTTACTTGGAGAATGCACTCCACTAGACAACCGTTTCAACTGTAGTCAAAACGCTTTTTCAAAAGCTACAGTTTTAGCATGTCTAAAAAGAGTCATATCAAACACATTATGCAACTAAAAATAATCATAATTTAGTATGGAGAAAAAGGATTCAGTGTAGCAGGTTGAATAGTTATGAAGAGTGTTCACGTTGGTGAACATGAAATCTCGATGACTACCAATAGCCACATGGCTCTATGTGACCGCCAATTTTATTGACCTCATTATGCTTGCGTTGGGTCTTAGAACAACCTCCATCAACTTTCATTGTTATGCAGATGATACTCCAATGTATCTATTGATCAAGCTAGAGGAAACCAGCTCGTTGTACTTCAAGCAGGTCTTAAGGACGTCAAGGCCTGCAACTTCCTGATGTTAAACTCCGAAAAAGGTTGCTTTATTTGGCCCAGAGCACCCAAACTTAAATGTCCAGTAATAGCTTCTATAGATGGCATTCACAAAAAGAAATGAGTTGTTAAGGGTGTGTCCTTTAACTTAACCTAATTGAAATGGAGGCACTTCCTTTCTCAGTGATGACGAGCAGTTTAAGAATTTGTGAAGTCTAGATTAATCAAAATCAGGCACGCTAATAAGGCAAAGTCACTGCATCGCAATGGAAGTAGAACAGGGATCCAATTACTTCCTGAATTAGCGTCAGTCCAGGGGGCAGAGAGTCACCTCATTTAACACTAGGCACAAGACGCCTTTTGGAGATCTCGTCAGCCCCAGGTAACTTGCTACAAGTCTAGACTGCCTAGGATTCAAAGAGCCCATTCCATTCAACACAAGTTCATGGCCAATCATTGAGTCACAAAGTCTACTTCTTTGCTTTTGCACAACAACACGACAAACAGGGAAACGGCAATTTCAGGGACAGTTTTATTTAACACCAGAGATTAAAAGTAGGTACAAGCCAAAATGTCTTAAGAGGAACTATTGCCCAGAGTGCCGTTGCGGCCTTTAAAGTCGTCGCCCAGGGAGGCGTTTTGCCCTGCAGAGTCGTCGTCGCCCACGGTGCCGTTTTGCCCTGCAGAGTCGTCGCCCACGGTGCCGTTTTGCCCTGCAGAGTCGTCGCTTACGGTGCCGTTTTGCCCTGCAGAGTCGTCGCCCACGGTGCCGTTTTGCCCTGCAGAGTCGTCGCCCACGGTGCCGTTTTGGCCTGCAGAGTCGTCGCCCACGGTGCCGTTTTGGCCTGCAGAGTCGTCGCCCACGGTGCCGTTCTGGCCTGCAGAGTCGTCGCTCACGGTGCCGTTCTGGCCTGCAGAGTCGTCGCTCACGGTGCCGTTTTGGCCTGCAGAGTCGTCGCTCACGGTGCCGTTTTGGCCTGCAGAGTCGTCGCTCACGGTGCCGTTTTGGCCTGCAGAGTCGTCGCTCACGGTGCCGTTTTGGCCTGCAGAGTCGTCGCTCACGGTGCCGTTTTGGCCTGCACAGTCGTCGCTCACGGTGCCGTTTTGGCCTGCAGAGTCGTCGCTCACGGTGCCGTTTTGGCCTGCAGAGTCGTCGCTCACTGTGCCGTTTTGGCCTGCAGAGTCGTCGCTCACGGTGACGTTTTGGCTTGCAGAGTCGTCGTCGGCCAGAGTCCAGTTGTTTGCTGCCTGCGGCGTCGTCGCCCTTTGTGCCATTTTGGACTTCGTAGTCATCGTCGCCCACTGTGCCGTTGTTCCTGCTGGGGTAGCTGTCGTCTCACACAGTGCCGTTTTGGCCTGCAGAGTCGTCGCTCACGGTGCCGTTGTTGCCGCTGGGGTAGCTGTCGTCTCCCAGAGTGCCGTTTTGGCCTGCAGAGTCGTCGCTCACGGTGCCGTTGTTGCCGCTGGGGTAGCCGTCGTCTCCCAGAGTGCCGTTTTGGCCTGCAGAGTCGTCGTCGGCCAGAGTCCAGTTGTTGCCGCCTGCGGCGTCGTCGCCCTTTGTGCCATTTTGGACTTCGTAGTCATCGTCGCCCACTGTGACGTTGTTCCTGCTGGGGTAGCTGTCGTCTCCCACTGTGCCGTTTTGGCCTGCAGAGTCGTCGCTCACTGTGCCGTTTTGGCCTGCAGAGTCGTCGCTCACGGTGCCGTTTTGGCCTGCAGAGTCGTCGCTCACGGTGCCGTTTTGGCCTGCAGAGTCGTCGCTCACTGTGCCGTTTTGGCCTGCAGAGTCGTCGCTCACTGTGCCGTTTTGGCCTGCAGAGTCGTCGCCCACTGTGCCGTTTTGGCCTGCAGAGTCGTCGCTCACTGTGCCGTTTTGGCCTGCAGAGTCGTCGCTCACTGTGCCGTTTTGGCCTGCAGAGTCGTCGCTCACGGTGCCGTTTTGGCCTGCAGAGTCGTCGCTCACTGTGCCGTTTTGGCCTGCAGAGTCGTCGCTCACTGTGCCGTTTTGGCCTGCAGAGTCGTCGTCGGCCAGAGTCCACTTGTTGCCGCCTGCGGCGTCGTCGCCCTTTGTGCCATTTTGGACTTCGTAGTCATCGTCGCCCACTGTGCCGTTGTTCCTGCTGGGGTAGCTGTCGTCTCCCACAGTGCCGTTGTTGCCGCTGGGGTAGCTGTCGTCTCCCACAGTGCCGTTGTTCCTGCTGGGGTAGCTGTCGTCTCCCACAGTGCCGTTTTGGCCTGCGAGGCGTCTCCCACGGTGCCGTTTTGGCCTGCATAGTCGTCGCTCACGGTGCCGTTTTGGCCTGCAGAGTCGTCGCTCACTGTGCCGTTTTGGCCTGCAGAGTCGTCGCTCACGGTGCCGTTTTGGCCTGCAGAGTCGTCGCTCACGGTGCCGTTTTGGCCTGCAGAGTCGTCGCTCACGGTGCCGTTTTGGCCTGCAGAGTCGTCGCTCACGGTGCCGTTTTGGCCTGCAGAGTCGTCGCTCACGGTGCCGTTTTGGCCTGCAGAGTCGTCGCTCACGGTGCCGTTCTCATAATGTCATCAAGAACCAGAGCCGTACACAAACAGCAAGTAGCGTTAAGCAGAGGTTGCTCACCTTCTTTAGACTTCCTCAGCAACACAGACTCAAGTGAATGCTGAAGTGTAAGGGCCTTCTTCATGGAGGAGTCATTAGGAGATAGATCTATAGTAAAGTTACAAAAATGAGTGTCATTACAAACCTCTTGAAATATGTAGTCACCAATATTCTTACCTCTCATTGTCCTCTGCTGCCCATTACCACTCATTTCATTCTTGCCACCAACCGGCAAACCAGAGCCTGGATTCAGAAAAAGGATTCAGTGTAGCAGGGTGAATAGTTATGAAGAGTGTTCACGTTGGTGAACAATGAAATCTCGATGACTACCAATAGCCACATGGCTCTATGTTGGATTATGCTTGCGTTGGGTCTTAGAACAACCTCCATCAACTTTCATTGTTATGCAGATGATACTCCAATGTATCTATTGATCAAGCTAGAGGAAACCAGCTCGTTGTACTTCAAGCAGGTCTTAAGGACATCAAGGCCTGCAACTTCACCTGATGTTAAACTCCGAAAAAGGTTGCTTTATTTGGCCCAGAGCACCCAAACTTAAATGTCCAGTAATAGCTTCTATAGATGGCATTCACAAAAAGAAAATGAGTTGTTAAGGGTGTGTCCTTTAACTTAACCTAATTGAAATGGAGGCACTTCCTTTCTCAGTGATGAAGAGCAGTTTAAGAATTTGTGAAGTCTAGATTAATCAAAATCAGGCACGCTAATAAGGCAAAGTCGCAATGGAAGTAGAACAGGGATCCAATTACTTCCTGAATTAGCGTCAGTCCAGGGGGCAGAGAGTCACCTCATTTAACACTAGGCACAAGACGCCTTTTGGAGATCTCGTCAGCCCCAGGTAACTTGCTACAAGTCTAGACTGCCTAGCAAAGTTCTTGAATTGAAGTCTCCAACGGAACATAGAGAAATACCTTTGGTAAATCAGACACACAGCACAGAGACAAGCAAGGCCCAGAAACAGAAACAAGCAAGGCCCAAAACACTCGGTTCCCATTACTTCGGTCACCAACAGAAAATGCAACCTGAGTCACGTCGCAGGTAAATATACCCCTCTGCAGGTGTCACAGGAGTAGCTGATCAGCCCTGATTGGCTAGCTCTTCAGAAAGTAAGTGCTCATTGGAAAACTAGAACTCTGCTGTCAAAGTCATTTTCATATGTATTCAGAATTTCTAACTGAACTCCCAGAATTCTTATCAAGTTTAGTCCTTAAAGCAGAACAAGAAATGCTAGACATTTTAAAGACATTTTACGGTCTTTTCACAGAACTGTCTTTTAATCGGATCATTTCTGAAAACTGTTTTCAAAAAGCTACAGTTTAGCACGTAGTCGTCGTCGCCTACAGTGCCGTTTTGGCCTGCCTAGTCTCCTCCCTCTGACAGCAGCCCAGCCAATCACACAGCGCTCCTTTATTTCCTCATTGTTGGAATGCATTAAGCATTCCAACTATTGTTCTTCGAATCTTTAATCAACTTATTATTCTATTTCTTCCGCCACCTTTCAACTGCTTCACACTTTCAGCTATTAAAACCATTCAAATGTTAAAATATTCAGATCTTTCCCGGGAGGGGTGCTATGACTTTTCATCTTTCTATTCAATTCTACTTTTTTCACAATCACTGATTATGTTTCACTAGTTCTTCGCTCTGTTACTGACTTTTACATGAGTGTGTATTGCGTCTGCTAGAGTGAGACCTGGAGATCTTAAAAGTGTGGGGCAGCGCCAGAATCTGGTTAAAAAAATATGGAACTTGTGTCCTCAGAGCCAAAGTATACACTTTTGAGGCTTCATATCTTTGGATTAATGATGGCATGGTTGTGCTGATTGGATTAATGTGGCTATGGAATCCCAGAGTTGTTTAGTTTTGGCTGTGTTAAAGTGTTAAAGTGACACAACCTCTGCCAAAAACCCCATAGGCTCCAATACAAATCTGCCGACATATTTCTCAAAAAATCCAGAAGGTACACGTTTTGTCAACTGTGATAGGAGCCGTATTTATTACCGGACAGACATAAAAAACTCATCCATGCGTTTGGTAGAGTCTTGGGTCTCGCACAAGCATCTTATTTTTCAGATAGCTGTTATAGTTTTGCGCTGGTGGACACTTGTTTGAGGTGTGGATTCTGTGTAACTCGCTGTCCTGTGTCTGCCCTTTGCAGCAGCTCGTTAATGAGCCCAGGTGCGCCGTTGCCGTGGTTACTCGCACACACGCTGCAGTATCTCTGTCTGTGACTCACAGCTGCTCCTATTACCTGATTAGTGGAGTCACATGACGCAGCTATGCTTTCTGTCAACAGACCAATATGATAAAGACACTCCCCCCCTCCACCCTGACCTCTTCTCACTGTTAATCACTCACTGTCAGTATACTCACAGTCAGTCAGTCTGTCTGTCTGTCTGTCTGTCTATTTCTCCTCCCCTCTCCCTCTCTATCTCTTCCTCACCACCTCACCCTTCCTCACCCTCTCACCCTCCCTCTCTCTATCTAGACCCCCCCACCCCACCCAATCCAATAATTTCAAAATAAAAGCCCCATGGAGGGAATTTTTAATGTAATGTTTGTGATTAGGCCTATTAATTTAAAACGTCTTAGTTTGAATAACAAACATTCTGTCTCCAAACCCCCCTCACCCAATTCCATCATATCAAAATAAAAGCCTCAATGATTATCTGTACCGTAACCATAAAGCTCAGAATGAAGCGGTTTCGTTGAAATACGTATTGCTCTTTCAAATACTACTACAACCACTACGAATATTACTGGTACTTCTAGTAGTACTACTACAACTGATACTTCTACCATACTACTAGTATTTATACTTCTATTAATACTATAACTGCTACTAATGATATTACAAATACTACTATGGCTAATAGTATTAGTATTACAGCTGTTTCTACTGCTATTGATACTAAACCTACTTCTACAGCTAGTACTACTAATACCACAATTAAAACTATAACTAATACTACTACTAATATTACTACAAACAATTTTAAACCTCTTTTTAGTCATCTCAGCTCTTGTTATTTCTGTAACTCCTGCAACTTCTGTATTTTTTTGAAAATCTATTGAAATTCAGCTTCCCCACTTCCTGTATTTTCAGCAGTTCTTTAAAATATTTTCAGCTTTTCTTATGCCTGTATTTTCAGCAGGAAATGCATTTTCTAGTTTATTCAGTTGTGTGGCAAAACTTGCTCTTTTACTCAACTACATGTATTGACTTGCAATGATTACTAGTTACTTTTACTTTTTCATTTTCTAAAATGTATTATGTTATTAGGGATATGATAAACTTCCACACCTGCTTGGTTTAGCAGTTATTGTGGTTGATTAGATCTACTCATGTTGTCAAGCATGGAGCTTCTCTGGGATATGTGACGTCACTAACCTCCAACAGTCGTTCCATATCGGAGCCAAACTACAAGACTTAAATGCTGATGAGGTAGTTAACTTTTGACTCCTATAACTGTCATAGCAGACAGGACAATGGTTCTCTGGTGCTGACACCTTACCTTCATAATATTGTGTTGTATCTCTATGATTAAAAACCAAAATGAATCAACCAAAAACCCAAATTACTTCCAATACTAATCTGATAATCAAGAGTTCTTTTCATGGGCTTAGTTGGGGGTTTGCTGTCTTGTCTTGATTTAATCTTGATCTTGAGTTAGGTAAGGGGGGAAGCAGGATGTGTCAAGCAGACACGAGTCTGACAGGATGGTGAGTCAGTTTATGTCCTGGCTGAGGAATGCAAGGTCTACGGGTCAACTAGCAGATTTACCAGCCAAAGGGGGGTTAGAGACACACCAACACTATTCAACATACACACTCTGTTCGCTGATGTTTACGTTAAGTCAGGAGTCTGGACATTGGATGTGACCGGATCTTTAGATGCGGGAGGTGGAAGGTCCTCCTCTACGCCAGTTTAGGGCCAATAGAAATCTTTACTTCTCTGTCTTTCAAGGGTTATAAAACATGATGTTCTTGCTGATGTTAGTTAGTTGTTCTTCCGGCCTGTGTGCTGCCTGAACTGCTCCTGCCTTTGCAAACGCAGCGCTGATACTTGACCTGTGATCTGACAAATAAATTTCCCAGAACGAGAGAAGTCGTTCGGCTGAATTTTTGATAACGCCGACCAGGCTCCAAATCTTGAACACGTATTCTTACAAATCCTTCAATACAACATTGGTCCACACTTATCAATGTGCCAGCAAATTAATGTAAATAAGTTGACTATAATATATGTGGAATCCTCATTAGAAGAGAATTAACATTTCATTAAATAAAACGTTTTGTGTTTCAACAGCCTATAGAAGAGCAGGCATGCTGGCCAAACTTGCCAAAGTAAAAGTGCTGACACCTCAAGCAAGCACAATTTTATAAATCTGTCATTTTAATCACAGGAAATGTTCAGAGATTCTTTTTTTCAGCATTTGGATATGTATCCGCCTGGCAATGGGTACACATATTCTTTATCAAATGACGCCCTGCCTACTTAATCAAGTGCAGGACTAACATTTAGAAGCAGCTCTTTGGTGATCACGTCGGCTCTGCAGTAACAGGCATTCTGTAACGAGCTGCGTCTTCCACATTCCTCATACCAATTATTAGGCTTATAAGTGATGTAGTATTGCCGAAGACATGCAAATACATGTGAAAGATTTGGAGTTACCATCCAAATCCAAAATCCCTTTAAAGTTCCCTTTCAAATAACATAATTTAAACTCCACACAGTTGACAAAAAAAACAACTTTATTTTTTTCACATAAATACACAAGCATTTACATTTGCAAAGAAATGTGTTTTACCATATCAATATATTCCATAACTGTGCTTCTTGCCATCTCTGTATCTGTCTAGGTAGCGTAACGGCTGTCGATGAGGGTATTTGACCTGTGGAGGATGGTACACTGGAGGCCGGATGAACTCAAACACTGGCTCCCTCATATCTAAGGGCAGAAAGATACATACAGGCATTATTGGTTACTAAAC